CCATAGTTCACAGAAAATGAATTTAGAATTACTTGCAAAGTTGTACTTACAGAGGAATATACACACAGATATGGTTTTCATTCATTTTCAAATCCACTGTCCCTCCTAACAGGAACCTAGCTGCACAGGTTCCAGGATTAAAGCAGCAGCAATCTGAAGGATTTCAGAGGCTGCTATGTTTTGAGCTTTGTGTTTTCTCAGCCTGTTGTCCAAAGAACTTAGAATTTCACTGACCACTTCTAAAGCAGTCTGAAAAAAAAAAAAAAAAAAAAAAGTAACTAAGAAAGAATCTATATTTCCCACATACATAAATCTGGGTATCTTATGATGTCTTGATACATTTATTTTTTATGCCTCTACAGCTATACAGCAGGACAATTATGCACATATCCAATTTTCATGCTCAGAAGGGGTGAATTTTCCAATTCAGCCTCATCTACAGAAACAATCTTCCAGGAAAAAAAGGCAAGCTATTGGTATAAGCACTTTGGGAGATTGGCTACTTCATAAAACAAAGGCTAGGTAGGACATCTATGTGAGGCCCAGAATCCTGTCTGATCATCTCAGCATACATCACATTGAATACTAGACAAAATAAACAATCTGTTTCTAAAATGGTGTAAAATGCACACAGCAATAACATCTGGGATCATATCCTAGGTGAGGCTGGAAACAGTGCCAGTGAGACAATAAGTGCTTTGCACTCTGAATTGATTTTTAACTGGTGTTCTAGTCACCTGCTAAGAGGTAATAAAGCCAAGTTTGGATTAAACAGAAACTGTGGGTTTTGTTTTTATTTTTGTTTTTTTTGGGGGTGGGGGGAGTGGGGAGGGGTTGGAGGCACACAGGCTGAAAGTTACAGTCTACCCTCTTATGTCCTTTCCCATTTCAAAACATTCCCCAAGTAAAACCAAATGAGTTTTCCCACACGAGTTTGGCTGTATGCATGCAGACTGGGTCACTTCCTTTTCCACACTTCTCAGCAGCTGGGCATGATGGAAATGACGGTACAGCTTAACGAGAGTATTCCCCACTATGTTCCTCTATAATAAGTGCTATAGGACTGAAGCCTCTCAGCAGGCAACTGATTTACAAGCAGAGCCATAAGAACAACTCTACAAAGAAAGCCGACCCTTACAGCAGCAGTAGGGTTATCACAGCTGTCGTCCAAATCAGCTCCTGAGAAGTATAGGCTGCATACAATTGTGATCACTCATCTTGATATTTTCTCTTTTCTTTGCCATGTCAGCTAGGGGTGGTCTGCATTCCCACAGCATCCTCTCTGTGCACCTTTCCCACTGTGCACAGAGTCTACATTGCTTACCCAGAAGTAGAGATAAGACTTTCAGAAAGCAAATCCTAAATTACTGGACTGTGCTGTTTCCATCTGGATGTAGTTCCCTTGGAAATCCCACTGTCTGGCCCTGTGCAGTTGAAACTGGATGTTTCAATTAGAAGGCGCTCAAGGATTTGGGGAGAACTGTCAGATGATGCAGAAAGCGGGCTCTCTTTCAGGATGAAATTTTGTTTTATTTTCTCTTATTAGTGAAAACATGTTATTTATTTACATATTTTGAATGCACTGAATTTGGCCATAAATAACAATAAGATGTATTATATAGTGGATCATTCAAATTAAAATGGACAGTCTGAGAGGAATTCCCAATGTTCTAGGATTGTATTTTAGTCCTCTTCTGAAAAACATGCAACCCCTCCCCCAGAAACCCACAGTATTTTTACAGTTATCATACAAAAGGAAGTACAGTTGGCTTTGCTACACTAAATATGTCTACTTTTATCACAAGTTAACAAGTTTCCAGTTACTTCCTAATGTCTCTAATTAAGACTTAAAAATCTCTGTTCCTGCTTAGTCACAGCATATAGACATTGCAGTTTAACACAATGGTCATTCACTGAGCTATGTCAGATGTAACTTCAATCTCAGGAGGCTAAGAGCAGGCATGGAACACAGCTGGCCAGGCTACCCTGGCCAGAGTTTCACCTGCAGGCTCTCTCCCTGGCCTTGCTTCCTTCTGAGCATCTCAAAAGAGTACTTATTAATTCGCTGCTGATTTGATACCAAAGGAGTATCCAGAAATAATCTGCAATATCAATTCATTACAGCAAGATTGTCTGCTAATAAGGAGCTATTTTTTGCTACATAATGTGCAAAAATCAGCTGTATCTTCACTTAGAAAAATCCAAAAGCAAAAGACCGGAAAAAAAAAAAAAAAAAAAAGCCTTTCAAGCTTGCTACCAATCGTAAATGTTAAGAACATGAGATTTGATGTTAAGGGCTTCATAAACTCACTAAAGCAAAAAATCAGCTCTTTTCATCAGGCTATTATTCAAATGTTACTATGCAGTCTCCCATATCTTTACAAAAAAAAGCAAGCTAGTAATGAGAAAAATATCCCCACTGCTATCTCTAGAGTCACCACAATGCAATGACAGAATAAATTATCTGGGGGCTCTCAACTTTCTCATGTTTGTTTAAGAAAGTAGCATGGACAACAAAGATAAACTCATGACCAACTGCAGCAACAAAACAGGAATATCCCAAACCATATGGAAGAGGATGTCTTTTTATTAAAAGAACCAAGTGGTCTACAGAAAGAGATCCACATGTTAAAGTTCATTTCTGTTTTGTAGGATTTCACAGCTAATTTCTCCTCCATTAAGCTCTTACTGAATCCACCTCAGTCTTACTGGAAAAATTTTTCCTCTTCATGACACTAAGCTATACTTCTTCATGCAAATGTTGGTGTCATTACCACTGAAACACCATGAAGTTTTTGTAATCCCATCAAAACATTCACTCCTGCAAATCAAGGCCTAAATGTTTTGCTCCAACCTTAAACTCTCCAAGGAACTCTATGTTTTCATCTGTAAAAATTCAATGTTTACAATGAAAGAGTGGGTATACTGAAAAGGAACAGCAAATAATTTTTGTTCAAGACAATGGCAAAGGCATGGAAACACATTGGTTTCTGGACCCTTTTGTGGTGCTCTTCTTGGGGACCAACATCCATGAGATGACAAAACTCTCCTTTAGAGATACCACCTGCACTCAGAGAGAGACAGCTTTACCAATGAGTCAGGCAAATCTCGAAGAGGAATTAACATTAAGATGCATTTAGTTCAGTCAGGAACTGTGGGCCTCGGAAACGTGTTTCTCTGAACAACATGGGATGATGCATAGAGCAATTATTTTTTGCTCCTGATTGGGCAATGCAATGCCAGAACTTGCACCAGTTAGTGACTGTTAAATGAAGCAGCACTGCAAACTGGCAAACATAAGGGAAATAAATGCAAATACAAGCTGTTCCTGCCATTGCTGTCATCAAGTCTCCTATCAGCCTTGGGCCAAGCCAGTCAAGGATGCTCACATGCAACAGCAAAGTAACAGCCCACGAGACCCCCATTTAAGGACTAAGGTCATAAATTCACAAAAGAACCTTTCTCCTTTACTCCGTGGTTAGTTTACAATGACAAGGTGTCTCAGATTAGATTAGCTCCACTTTGAATTCAGGTTCAGCCTCATATTTTGTCCAAGGACATTTAGAGACACCCGAAGTGGCCAACATCTGCCATAACTGCAAAGAGATGAAATAAACCCCTGGCAAAACTCTGGGAGAGACAGCGACAAAGCTCTGATCCAACATTCACAATGGGCTTTTGAGTTGGATCCTCTTTTCTTTTCTATCTGTGGTTCTCTGAAGAGCACGAACTCCATGCTATAGATTTGAAACCAGCAATGCTATGTGCAAGACTGCTCATGCACCACAGTCTGTTATTATTATGTCTGATTCACTATTACTACTTGATAATATTCCATCCACAAGATTAGAGTTTGTTTCATTTCCTACATGCTTAAAAGAAAAAAGCACTGGAAGAAAATTCTCTATTGACTTTTCTGCATATAATTTCTCCTCTATCACCACACTGCCTGTAAGTGTAGCCTTTGGCAGTAGGAAATTAAAGTTAAAATTATTTAGAGTCTTGTCTACTTTTACAAGCATCCTTCCTTGCTATTGTCCTAACAAGAGAAGCTAGTGGTCATGCAGAGGAAAACACCAGTATTTGTTGGTTATATGGTATAACAGAAAGAAAACCAACACAGACTGACTCAGAAATGAAGGGCAAATGCTCATGAGAAAGTAAACAAAAATTAGCAGAGTGTTTCTGAGGGAACTGTTGTAACATCCAGGCTCTCTGGCTGTTTCTCTAGTTCTATAACAGAATATCCTCACTGAAATCACTGGTCATGCTTAAGCTTAAAGCTCAAGTACTTAAAAGTCCATCAAGCCCAAACATAGGCCAAAGGTCCCTCCTACAAAAGGTTCATTGATTTTCAAAGGAGATATTTGCATTAAAAAAAAAAAAAAAAAAAAAAAAAAAAAACCACAAAAAAACAAACATCAGCTTCAAGCTTTCTGCACACGTACACCTTAAACCCTGCCTGGAAAATATGGCCAACACCTACATCTTCAGAAAGTATTTTGTCCTTTCTCTGTAACTCAAAATGGACCTTTTATTAAATTGACACTTCACAGCTCACTAGACTGTGTGGCTCTTTGGGGAAACGCAAATCAGAAAACAGTCCAGTTGTTTGGTTTAGCAATGAAGTTTCCCACACATGCATGCTAATTTATTTCATTGAAAATGTCCCAACTAATTGCAACATTTACCCTTAGAGCACATGCATGGCAGTCACATTAATACACCAGAAGACAATGGCTCCAAAGGAGCTATTATCATGAACCAGGCCAATAATCCACAAATGGTAAAGGATTTTCACAAAAGACTCAAATGGTTTCCAAGGAGCCATTATGGGCATATCAGGTAAATAAAATATTATTGAAATGTATTTTTTGCATTTAAATCACTTGCAGCAGGTGCATAGGAAGTAGCATATAATAAAATGGCTCACATTCCCTTGAATACTAATGAGAATCAATGGAAACATTTAGCAAAAAGAAGAAGCAGCAAGTTCTTACCATCGCAAGGGGAACAATTCCCACAAACATTGTTCGGCTGACAAAGATCTCGGAGACCACCAGTTCACTCACGGAGTCATCTCGAGGGTATTCCACCTGCCAGGTAATTTGCTGGGCTCCTGCCAGGCTGCTAGTGTTGTCAATCTCAAAGTCCATCTGCAGGATCTCGTAGGAGGACATGTTTGCTCTAGGAAAAAAAAAAAAAAAAAAAAGAAAATTCCCACACCATCAGTAGGATGTTAACAACAAAAAGTATATTTTGATTTACCTTTTCTATTCACCAGAATATTCACTATTAAATTCAACATGCAGACTTGAAGACACTGACAGAAATCTAAACCAAACTACACACTGGGCAACAGCTACACTTTATAGATAAGGTGATACCGTATCTTTCAGTTTCCTGAATTGGAGGCATTTTTCCCATTAAACTCAGTCACTCATTCTCCATAATCACAATGAATTTACAGAATAAGGCCCAAACCCTGGGAACTGCATTGCACAGATGCTGCTGAATTATTTAATATAGCATTATTATAATTTTGTTGCTGCAAATATTGATGCTCCAAAACAACAGAATACTTGGCCATTCCTCATGCTGTATCAGAAATGAGCTCCTGAGGGGTGGGGAAGTCTTTCAAACCCAAACTTGTCTTTATCTCGGTGGATTTGCAGAAATTATATATGACAAAAAAAATGAGGGGTAGATTATCCTTATTTTCAGTTCATGAAAACATTCTTCTCATTAGTCATGCAGACTTGTAATTATATGGTGATCGTTATATATTTCTCATCTGAAAATAAAAGCTTAAGGGTAAAGAAATAGATATAGATGCATAGCATTTAAAAATTACTTCTGCTTCTGTTGCTAACAGTAACAGTTAGCACCCTCCTCTGGTCCAACACTATGTAAATATTAATAATTAATCCTCAGGTTAGAAAGACAGATCTTATCTTCATGTTACAGAGACGAAAACAGACACCAGGATTTAACCAACAGCACTCAGCATATCCACAGCAGGGACTTCTTTAGAAAACAGACCTTTGCTCATCCAGCACTTTACTTCCACAAAAATTAAGGTACTTTACAGAGCAGTACAGAAGTTCTTGCCCCAATTTCCCAGACACCTGCAGTGTGGAGACCTGATGCAGCTTACAAAACACGGAGGTGGGTTGGGAAGGCAGCTAAGCTAACTGCAGACACAGTATCCCATTGAAGAGACAACCAATGTTACCAATATTACTGAAGTTTCAGGGTACATGCTTGTAAAATTGGTTAAAATCTGAATTGGCAGCATGTTAGGCCACTCTGTAATGACATAAGTGTGCTGTTACTGAGAGCATGAGATAGCTTGTTCCCAATCTAGGGATGTGTCCTCTTCAGGTAGGCACCCTCAGTAACCACGCGCCCGCTGTAATTTCACCCCCTATCCTGTCCCGCGGTACACTGTTTGTGTGCCCTTACTCTAAAGTAGTGACTCCAAGAGCTGCGTTCATAGAAAGTTTTAGCCTGCTGCTACAAAGAACAGACACTTAGAAACAAAGATTTAAAACATCCTTTTCCTCCTCCCAACTGCACAGAGGCAGAATCTGGTTTTGCCATATGTTTTTGAAGGCACATTTTAAAGGAAAAACATCTGAACAGGAATTATTGATTTTCATGTTTTCTTTCTGACAACAAACAACACAAACATATGCTTCAATGCCTGGAGGATAAATACTTTCCATGCTGACAGAAAATAATATCCACCTCCAGGCAAAACCAGAAGCTATTAAGGCATCTTTTGGGTAGCCAACCAGAAAATCAGCAAAAACCTTAAGACAAATATTATTACACAATACTAGAGATGTAATTAAACCCTTTCTGTTAAAAACATAACCATTGTGGGCAACACAGTGGAGTACTCAACCTCATACTTTCCTGTATATCACTTCTGTCAGGTTTTCTTATCTAAATTACATAAAATTAATTTGCTCACAACACAGAAATAAAATTTAGAGATTAGCTTTACACTAACTATGGATCTAGATATTGGGCCTGTCAAGTTATATTTAGATCTGCAGTTTAGGTTCAATCTGTTCAAGTCAATAGTTGCCACTCATAAAAACACCCACGACTGGTTTCAAATTTGGAACAAAACCACTGATGGAAGGTTTTGCTTTACATTCACCACTTAAATAATACGTCAGTTTAGTCTGCATGGATAAATCCATTCCACATGTCTTTGCACTTTCACACTGGCACTTCCTTGAGCTCAGTCCATCATGCCTTTGATTTTTCCTTTGCTGTTTTTCTTTTTACACATCCAAAAAGTAACCATAATAGTGGTTTTTTTTATTTTTAACACAGACTGAGACTCAGATGTCCCTAAGAAAAGCATGTGTGTGCCTTGCCTATATAGCAAGCTGAAGTATTTGCCGGGGAGTAAAATTACTCTTGTGCTTGTAAACATGCAAAGACCTTCACTGCATCCTTAGCATGGCTGTATAGCTAGAAAAGACATAAGTTTCATTTAAAGGCATACATGGTTATACACTTCTGGATTTGAAATTAGTCTTTGTGCATCTAGAAAAGAGCAGCAACTCACATCATAAACCTTCCCCAGATCTAACTAATATTACCGTATGAACTAGAGCAAAGCTGACTTCCCAGGTCTCCCAGGACTTCCTAGGTCCTGGTTCCAAAGAGAATCCTTATCATCACCTGGAAATACAACATGGCTTATCAAACGTTTTCTGTTTTATCTCAGAAACAAATCATGTAGCATGACATATTGATATTGATTAAAGAAGGATACACTTCTTTTCAATTGGACTTTTACTGAAAGAGATAGACTTACTGTATCTATCCATCTTTCACTTACAGAGTTTCTCTACTGAACATATAAATTTAGCAAACCAGTGTTCAACTTTCATGACTCTTATTCACCAGCAGTTTTCCAGTTACCTTCAGAACAGACAGTTAATGAATTTTCCCTAAAATTATGGTTTCTCTTTTTTCCTCTTTAGGACAAAGGTTCAGCCTTCAAGCAATGACAAGTGCTACCGTATCTGGAACACAGAGTACCCCATGGACTAATCCACCTTCTTTGTTCTAAGTCTCTTCCCAGGTTACAACTATAACGAACCCATGATAAAATCTGGAAAGTGAATTTCTTTCTTCTTCAGACTAGTGCCTTCCTACTGGCTGCCGCATCTCTTTTCCTACAGGGACTTCTTTCCTAGCAGGAAGTTTGGTACTATATTCATAATTCTTGCAATTTATTAACCATCCTCTATAATACCATGTGGGAGATCATGGACTTTCTCCACTGAAATTGATGGAGGTTGCTAAAGTAAAACCAGAGATAAATTAAACCACAATCAAGACCTTAAAGGTTAGCATTTACTTATGTCAGCTCCATTAGCTGATAAATCCACACAGCAAAACCTGTATCTAAATTTCTCTCCTGGCTATGCAGCATTACACTATAACCCTTTTTAAAAGGAGTCATTCCATCCTGCCATGGCAAATCTTCAGCTTTTAGTCTGATTTGTACTTGGTGGCCAGTATGTTGGTCTTTGTAGTCACTGCCGATCTGCAACTGCCTGGTGAAGACAAAGTGCTACCAGTGGAAAAATCCACTAGCAGAGAAGACAACGACTATAACTCACGCTGTTATCAGCCATTAAATCCCGCTAAACCAAACTTTATCCTTTAAAGATTTTTCAGCTTTTTCTTGAGACTTATTCCATTTTTCTCTTAAATAAGTTTGCACTATTGGGAAGAGTCTGATGGAATCCAAGGACTATAAATCGCTTCTCCTTTCCACATCTTTCTTCTCTTTTTAGTTAAAAATTTCTATTGTCTAGTGAAGTCTTTTCCTGGTTTAGAAGGATTCTGCCAAACACCCTAGTTTAGAGGAGCAATAAAAAATAAAAAGTCAAAATTACTTTTATAAAAAAAGATTATTTCCTGCAAGCACAAGGAAAAGACCTTATAATTTTAGGCAGCTGGCATGCTTGCTAATAAGTCCATTTCTATGGAAATGAGTTCATAACTATTAATTTTGCCTGCTCCTGATCTATTCTTGATGAGCCTTTCAAATTTAGAAAAGCGCTTCATGATTCTCTCAATTTGGTAATTACTAACTCCCTTTGATGAATCCAGCCCAGTGTTTCAGACATGAGACATTCATTACACATTTTTCATTCCGGTGAGAGGAGAAAAAGAAACCATGGGCTTGGATTTATTTCCTCTTGCAAACTCCAGTAAGTAGGCCCTCTCCTCCAAATTGCAATTTACAATCCTATTTGTGTACTTTTGGAATATTGCCTCTGCTAGGTGCTAGAAGAACCCCCAAAACCTTGAGATTTCTGCACAATGAAGCCAACTCCAGCTCCAACCAACTCCTGAATAAGAAGAGTTAATCAGGACAGGAAAATGTCGCTGAGTCCCAAAACTGCCCTGCAAGGGACACATCCAGGCGGACAGCTGCAGGCATGCAGAGTCCAACTGCCTGGCTCCACTTGCCAAATGGAACCTGAAGTATTTCCTCTGCATGTACATTAAACCATAAAGGAGTGAGCACTCCACCCAGAGGCAGACCCTCTCCTCAGTTAAAAACACTCTCCCAGCAGAACAAATCACAGCCTGCACAAACCGCTAGAAAAATGAGGCCTGGGTTTCAAGTGCTCCTCAGCACCTTAGAGAACTCTTGCATTACTACATTCCAATGTTTTGTAAAGATTCATACCAGTTTTGGAGGGATATCTATCATGTTACCTTGTTACTTATATTCCTACTAATTTTGTTCGTGAATCTGCCAGTATATGCAAAGAGTAGGAAAAATATAAATATATTTTAAAACTGAATCTTAAAAAAAAAAAATCCAGTATCAAATTTTGTTTCTCTACGTTTGATTACTGTGTTCAGATCTGGGGCTCCCAACGTAAGACAGACATGGACCTGCTCAAGCTGGTCCAGAGGAGGCCACGAAGATGCTCAGGGGGTTGGAGCAGCTCCCCTGGGAGGCCGGGCTGAGAGAGTTGGGGGGGTTCAGCCTGGAGAAGAGAAGGCTCCGGGGAGACCTTCGAGCGGCCTCCCAGGGCTTAAAGGGGGGACAGGAAAGGTGGGGAGGGACTCTGGATCAGGGTGTGTGGGGATAGGACAAGGAGTAACAGTTTTAAACTGAAAGCGGGGAGATT